TTTTTTTTTCATCCATCATAATTAGTGGGAAGTAGCGGGGACCACCACCCATAAAAATGCATTTGCCTTTAATAGGAATAAAAAAAAGGAAAATGCATTCCATGAGGTAAAGTAAAATGGTGGTCTCTCTAGTCTCTAATCAAGAAAGGTCGAAAAGAAATACTTAAATAAATGATTTTAACAGTTGACTGTTACCATTTAACAATCAAAGAGAAACGGCGTCCAACTAAGGATGACATTGAACCAAAATTTGGGAGTAGAGTGACGGACATTAACTACTGTTTGGAATGTAGAGGGATGACATTGAACAAATTCTTAGTAAGACAACGAACATGAACCAAAATTAAAGGTATAGGGATGACAATGGGCTTTAACCCCAAAAACAATTGTGTACTTCCTTTCATTTGGATTTTTATTTTATTAATAGATTAGATCGCCTGAATCTTATTAAAATGAAAAAATAATGGAGAAAATGATGTAGAATAATTTTTTGTATTATTTAAATAATTAAATTTTTTTATTTATTTAAATTTTATAATATTAAATATATTTATTTATTTAATAATATATAAAAATTATATAAAAAATAATATAAAAAAATTATCTCTATATCATTTAAAAGGTAAAATAGGAAATGCCAAATAAAGATTTTTTTTTTTTTTTTTTTGGTTTTGGACCTGCTTGATACAGCAATTAAAATTTAGCAGATAGCGGATAGCAAATAATAGTAGCGGGTAGTGAGTAGCAGATAACGAGTGGCGGTTAGTGGATAACGAATAACGGATAGCGGATGACAAATAACAGAAAGTAAATAGCTGATGGTAAATAGTGGATTCGATAAATATAATTGTTTGATTATACAATAATTAGCAATTGTTATTTAACATTAAATGACTAATAAAGATATATTTAAAAACAAATAAGTGTATTTTTTAAAATATTTTTTATTTTTTATTATTGAAATTATTAATTTTATAAAAATAATAAAAAAATAAATAAAATTAATTATAATATTAAAAATATTAATTTATAAAATAATTTTACATATAATATTAAAAAATAAAGTATCAGAATTTAAACAACTAAATAATAATTATACATATTAATTATTACCTATTAACAACGAAGCCAAATGGAATCAGTGTTTTGTGTGGTAATAT